ACGTGATTCATTTCATCCCGCCGTAGCAGAAGACTACATTCGTTAGCCTTCGGTACTTCGCGGGTTCGAATCCTGCTGGCCACAGACGTGTGTTTTGTGAAATTGTTCTTTCATCAAGGTAAATTTAAAGGGTGAAAAAGAAGTTCAGTCATTGCCAAGTGGTGTTCAACTATGATTGTGGGTTCGAATCCCGGTTCGCCCCGATTATGTTTCTAGGTTTGTCAGCACCATACCCGTGCTCGTGGGTTTCACCGAAGTGGTAAACGTCTGAGACCTGCATCACGTTGGGCTTTCCTCCCACATTAAGCTGACACGCCGTGATATTACTGTAATACTGTTAAAAGCGGCGTTAAATCCAACTAACACACTGTGATGAAAACTGGTGAGAACGTACCTAGCCAAGCTGAAAGCAACACGTTAAAGAATTTACTCTGCCAAATCACTTTTTAATTACAATCCCAGGGGAAAATAGTCCCCGAGGTTAATACCTTCCGCGTGTTCTCGTGAAAAAGATATTTGCATAATATATATTGCCCATTATTGTCCTTTTATGACCGCCTATATCCCCGAGTGGTCTCACTATCATAAACTAATGAAATTGCGAGTGAATGGCCCGGAGTTATAGTTGCATTGGTGTTGATCGAGTGGAAATGCCCCAGGTGCAAAATCGGTTCCACTTGAAGAGCTCGTACAATCTCAAACGTCCGTATCATCAAAGATGTGATAAGACTCGCGCCCCGCGGAGGTGGACGTTCTACTATGGAAACAGAATAAGCCGAGTCATTCGACATATGAAACTGACGTTGTTTCTGACAGGCAAGTGTTTGTGACATTGTAGCAGACCATGTGTGACAGTGAAACAGACCATGTGTGACAGTGAAACAGACAATGTGTGACAGTGAAACAGACAATGTGTGACAGTGAAACAGACAATGTGTGACAGTGTAACAGAACGTGTGACAGTGAAACAGACAATGTGTGACAGTGAAACAGACAATGTGTGACAGTGAAACAGACAATGTGTGACAGTGTAACAGACAATGTGTGACAGTGAAACAGACAATGTGTGACAGTGTAACAGACAATGTTGGCAACGAAACAGACAATATGTGACAGTGAAACAGACAATGTGTGACAGTGAAACAACAGATCGTGTGACAGTGAAACGGACAATATGCAACAGTGAAACAGACAATGTGTGACAGTGTAACAGACAATGTTGGCAACGAAACAGACAATATGTGACAGTGAAACAGACAATGTGTGACAGTGAAACAACAGATCGTGTGACAGTGAAACGGACAATATGCAACAGTGAAACAGACAATGTGTGACAGTGAAACAGACAATGTGTGACAGTGAAACAGACAATGTGTGACAGTGAAACAGACAATGTGTGACAGTGAAACAGACAACGAAAGAGACAATGTGTGACAGTGAAACAGACAATATGTGACAGTGAAACAGACAATGTGTGACAGTGAAACAGACAATGTGTGACAGTGAAACAGACAATGTAACAGACAATGTGTGACAGTGAAACAGACAATGTGTGACAGTGAAACAGACAATGTTTGACCGTGAAACAGACAATATGTGACAGTGAAACAGACAATGTGTGACAGTGAAACAGACAATGTGTGACAGTGAAACAGACAATATTTGACAGTGAAACATACAATATGTGACAGTGAAACAGATCGTGTGACAGTGAAACAGTACGCATGACGTGACGGTTATCCAATCCAGGTATCGCTTACCATGAGTCAGCCACTTGACAGCCAGGCTCCCGAGTCGGCTGTGTGCACCTTGGCCTACAATGTCGTGTCATGTGTGATAAACAATCTTCTTTGAAAATGTAACTTGAACCCTTACAGGGCAGTGTCAATTACAAACAGTGGCCTACACGCCTACACGGTGAAACGAAAATGTCCCACACTGGATTTAACATGTCAATTCCTTAATATCTTAATTAATTTCATTTCAAGATATCTAAGAAGAACCTGAGCCAATATTTTTTCTTTGACTTACGCTGGGACATGATATTTGAACAGGGACGTTTGTACAAATAATTCAGCTGAGTAGGTCGCGAGGATATTCCGGAAGCGAGGTGTGTTGGTGGAGCTTGGGGTTAAACAAATATTGGTAACGTGATTTTGATTATAAATAAAACTCGATTTTGCCCTTGTTTCTTACTGGGCAAATAAATTGCAGTAGGTTAGCACAAAACAGATGATTGTCGACAGAGAGTCAAAATGGATATGTGCATTTAGCATACCTCCATTTCGGAATGATGGTTCTGATTGGTTAACGTGATCTTGATAGAAACCTAACGCGGGACGCATAAACCCTCATGTACCCCGAGTGATCCTGCTACAACTTAGTAACATCCATCCTACCACCATCCCACGTGCACGCTCCTACACATCAATATACGTCCACATACGTCCGTCATACACCGACCGGGGCGGTCGGGTAGCCCAGTGGTTAAAGCGTTAGCTCGTCACGCCGAAGACCCGGGTTCGATTCCCGACATGGGTACAATGTGTGAAGCCCATTTCTGGTGTCCCCCGCCGTGATATTGCTGGAATATTGCTAAAAGCGGCGTAAAACCATACTCACTCACTCACTCACTCATACACCGAAGAAACAAACAATACAGGAAACACTTAATAGTCATTACGTTTTTGAATATTATAACCACATTAAGTCCTTTGATGTTAAATTAAAATATCATGCAACAAATATCAAGGTAATAGGGCAGCAGTTATTTATGTTTACTTATATTGCATGAGCTACCATTAAGGTGTTATATTAGAAGTAGAGAAACTAAAATTATAAATCAAATTTGAAAGATTTGTAACTGTAATAATATTGAATATGAATTTTCTGTTTCAAAGCCCAGCGTGTGCAATGTTAAAAAATATTTATATTCCAAGTTATACAAATATGTCACAAAGAATGCGTTATAACAAATTATAAAACTGTAAGGCTACAAATACCTTTGTAAATTGTGCCATATATGTCAAGGAAGGTCATCATTATCGAAATATGTAACTTGCTATAAACACAAGTCTGCATTGTACATATTATACGATTGTCATATTATATTATGTATATTTGTGCAGATTCGTACATTGAGCCGATGGCCTACAAACACTGAATGAAACACTATGACATACACGTACACCCAGGCCCAGGCATGCTCGGATCTCCATGCTTGTCCAGAGCCAATGAGACCCGTGAGGATCCGTGTTAGAATAGGTGTTCAGCAACCCATGCTTGTCCAGAGCCAATGAGACCCGTGAAGATCCGTGTTAGAATAGGTCTTCAGCAATCCATGCTTGTCCAGAGCCAATGAGACCCGTGAAGATCCGTGTTAGAATAGGTCTTCAGCAATCCATGCTTGTCCAGAACCAATGAGACCCGTGAAGATCCGTGTTAGAATAGGTCTTCAGCAATCCATGCTTGTCCAGAACCAATGAGACCCGTGAAGATCCGTGATAGAATAGGTCTTCAGCAATCCATGCTTGTCCAGAACCAATGAGACCCGTGAAGATCCGTGTTAGAATAGGTCTTCAGCAATCCATGCTTGTCCAGAACCAATGAGACCCGTGAAGATCCGTGTTAGAATAGGTCTTCAGCAATCCATGCTTGTCCAGAACCAATGAGACCCGTGAAGATCCGTGTTAGAAAAGGTCTTCAGCAATCCATGCTTGTCCAGAACCAATGAGACCCGTGAAGATCCGTGTTAGAATAGGTCTTCAGCAATCCATGCTTGTCCAGAACCAATGAGACCCGTGAAGATCCGTGTTAGAATAGGTCTTCAGCAATCCATGCTTGTCCAGAGCCAATGAGACCCGTGAAGATCCGTGTTAGAAAAGGTCTTCAGCAATCCATGCTTGTCCAGAACCAATGAGACCCGTGAAGATCCGTGTTAGAATAGGTCTTCAGCAATCCATGCTTGTACAGAGCCAATGAGACCCGTGAAGATCCGTGTTAGAATAGGTCTTCAGCAATCCATGCTTGTCCAGAACCAATGAGACCCGTGAAGATCCGTGTTAGAATAGGTCTTCAGCAATCCATGCTTGTCCAGAACCAATGAGACCCGTGAAGATCCGTGTTAGAATAGGTCTTCAGCAATCCATGCTTGTCCAGAACCAATGAGACCCGTGAAGATCCGTGTTAGAATAGGTCTTCAGCAATCCATGCTTGTCCAGAGCCAATGAGACCCGTGAAGATCCGTGTTAGAATAGGTCTTCAGCAATCCATGCTTGTCCAGAACCAATGAGACCCGTGAAGATCCGTGTTAGAAAAGATCTTCAGCAATCCATGCTTGTCCAGAGCCAATGAGACCCGTGAAGATCCGTGTTAGAATAGGTCTTCAGCAATCCATGCTTGTCCAGAACCAATGAGACCCGTGAAGATCCGTGTTAGAAAAGGTCTTCAGCAATCCATGCTTGTCCAGAGCCAATGAGACCCGTGAAGATCCGTGTTAGAATAGGTCTTCAGCAATCCATGCTTGTCCAGAGCCAATGAGACCCGTGAAGATCCGTGTTAGAATAGGTCTTCAGCAATCCATGCTTGTCCAGAACCAATGAGACCCGTGAAGATCCGTGTTAGAATAGGTCTTCAGCAATCCATGCTTGTCCAGAGCCAATGAGACCCGTGAAGATCCGTGTTAGAATAGGTCTTCAGCAATCCATGCTTGTCCAGAACCAATGAGACCCGTGAAGATCCGTGTTAGAATAGGTCTTCAGCAATCCATGCTTGCCGTAAATTGCGACTAACGGGATCGGGTGGTCGAGCTCGCTGACTTGGTTGATGCATGTCATTTATCCCAATTGTGTGGATCGATTTTCTTCATGTCAATCACTGGATCGTGTGGTCCAGACTCGATTATTACAGCCCGCTATCATACAGCTGGAATATTGCTGAGTTCGGCGTTAAACAACAAACAAACAAACAAACCAGAGCCAGGGAGGGTCGTGTGGCTACAATAACTCAAAACCCCACCGTATCGACCACAGGCTTGCCCCTTCAAGTCACAATTCTGTACAGCTCACTCCATTGTTCATAGCACCGAAATCGACATTGTATCGGACGTTGTGCAGCAGCTGCAACCTCAGCAACATCACACCGTCGATGTATACGTAAATAGCCGTCTGATTGTGCCACCTGGAATGTTTCAGTTCGTGAGTGATTTCATACTTAATTGGACTGATTAATATGTTTGCTTCCTTCCTTTATTATAATTAATATTGATGTTTTATTAATATTATTGGACCGCGGAAGCTCTAACGGCTGTTATTGTTTTATCGGGCAAAATGACCTTCGTTGTAGTGATGGCACTATAGGGAACGTGTCAAAAGTATAAAATACATTAAAGGAGTTTATCTATACAATCTCTCTCCTTCTTCACTCTTGGTCATGATGGCGAAATTCTTCTTAGAGATCTGGATTTTGTTAAATACTTCTGGGTAAATTGTAGCGATACCATCAAAATCAGGTTATATGGTACCTCCTGCCATATCGCCCACACTGCATAGCTGGACCATGTAGAGCACCAGTGACCGTCAGCCTCCATTAGACCACATGTTTTACATTTATGCTGATGGTAAGCACAGTGTAGAAACTCAATGAGTTGGGTTTGCTCTTTTTAAACGAAGTGGGGAGAAAAAAGAATGGTAGTTATAGGATATATGTGAATGACACATATGAAAGGTCAAAATGTCTATTAACATTACAATCATGATATGTATATGTTCCTTTCTGCATTAAGTGCTTTAAATATATGTTTTCATATAATTGGCATATTTTTCCATAGGGCCACAATTGTAACCTTTACTAAATACAGGGATAGAAGACGATGGCATTCCAATAGTTACACATGTGTTGAACATGCTACTTCTAGCTTAAATATTCAAACTGTCATAAACAATTTGATGTTACCATCCAGCTCACAAGATAGTTCTGAATGTGAACCACTCGTTGGTGCCTTCTATGATATTTTACAAACTGTCAACAAATTATCAACAAAGCCTTGTAAAAAAATCAAATGTACTAAAAAGAACAATGGTACGATGTTGAATGTTAAGAGCCAAAATGTAATATGGAGGCAAAATATCATGTGTTCAATAAGAAAACAATATATCAATTAATAATGGGTTCTCTTTTGCACCCAAAAAATAAAAAAGTTACTCATAACAAAACGACATGTATATAAACAAACTCAGCTGGAACAAGTGGAAACTTTTCTGGAAACTTTTGAATAATATTAAAAATTAATTATAATGATCCTGAGAAGCTAACAAACCCCTTCAGGAATATTTACAACGCTAACAGAAAAAGAGATATGCATATATGTGACAATCTCAAAAATAAATAGCATCTAATGAACTCCTCACTTTTATAAAACAATTCAAAACAAACAAAAGTCATAACTTATTGTATCTTGTACATTGATAGACCAGTTGGCTAAACTGTTTAATGTCTTAAATAGTAGTCACTTCCAACGCAGTTTAGTCATGCACCATGACTGTGGAATACATATATTTTATGGGGGGAAAAGCAATAGATAGATAGATACAGCTTATTTACAGTCATCTTTGGAGACTGAGATTTGATGTTCTTTAATTCGGGTTTTGGGGGGCCTGGATGTTTCTCTTATGTAAGCTTGTCCACAATTGCACGGAATGTGGTACACTGCTCCTGATGGTTCTAGCTTGTGGCTGGATGGTGGTTTCTCTGTGGCTTGTATTGTGTTCTGAATGGCGTGACTTGTCTTGAAGTGATACACTGCTCCTGGTGGTTCTGGCTTGTGGCTGGATGGTGGTTTCTCTGTGGCTTGTATTGTGTATTGAATGGCGTGACTTCTCTTGAAGTGATACACTGCTCCTGGTGGTTCTGGCTTGTGGCTGGATGGTGGTTTCTCTGTGGCTTGTATTGTGTTCTGAATGGCGTGACTTCTCTTGAAGTGGTACACTGCTCCTGATGGTTCTGGCTTGTGGCTGGATGGTGGTTTCTCTGTGGCTTGTATTGTGTTCTGAATGGCGTGACTTCTCTTGAAACATACAGTGGCGTTCATTTAGACCCTTTAATCAGCGTTTCAGTATACATTGAGAAACGTCAGAAAGTTTGACTGCATAAGTGTTCACGAATATCCTCGCTACGACCCATCCTAATGAGTGAGTGAGTGAGTGAGTTGGGTTTAACGCCGCTTTTAACAGTATTCCAGTTATATCACGGCGTGTCAGCTTAATGTGGCCATCCTAATGAATAAAAGGAAGAAATGCACATCGAAACTGTCGTAGTATCGTTTATTAATTGAGTACATTTGTTTACAGAAACTACAAAAGTTGTCCTTGTTGAGCATGTTGAGCATACATAAGCTCATATCACCTCTCGTTTTGAGGAACTATTTTATTCCGCGACACAGCTGGTTGTTGTATGGCTGTATGTAACCATGAAGTTGGACGTACTAAATATTATTGTGTATAAATAAGGGTCTACGTCCTTTAAGGTAAAAATAGTGATTATTATTCATTTATTTATTCATGTACAGTAAACTACGTTTATAACGAACAGGCTTATAACGAACTGACCGATATAACGAACTTATTTTTTAGTCCCGACCATTTGTTGTATATATGCTGTGTGTTTGCTTATAACGAACTACGGTTATTACGAACTAAAATTCGTGGTCCCCTCGAGTTCGTTTTAACCGTAGTTAACTGTAATTCAAGTCTAAGGAGGATGGTTTAGTGTAAGTGTTATGATGTCCATCCAGGATGTTGGCTAAATATTTCGATATGCCTGCTTGAACGTAGATGGAGTCGGCTAAACAATATGCTCAATAACGCTAGACGTTACTAAGCCTTATAACAGAGACACGACTGAGCCTTATAACCAAATGTAAGGTGAGGTATTACGTTTTTTTACACGCTAACATGGTATGGGTTTTTCATTCTATTTTGACTTCTTATGGGTGCAGGGATGCACTCATCATACATGACATTGACCGTGGCAAGTGCCTTCAATGTATAAACATAAGCGTCGATAGGGTAACGGGGTCGTTTGTGTATATTAGTTGTTACATTTTTGAGACGGTCCCTGATAGACACGTTCTGTCGTCTTGCAGTGTGCGCTACGAATCGCAAGCCTGGCGCAGGTGTCGCCAGACAGAAAGATGAAGCTGATATAAGATGAGCGTATGAGGTAAGCACTCATTTGTTATAATGTTACTCATGTATCTGTTGACGTAAAATAATGAGATTCGCCCTACAAACCTCTTTCAATTGGCCCTCCCAAACAGACCAACTTCTCTTACTTGCACCAACTAAACTGTCAAACCTCAGTCATCTGTCTTACCCCAAAGTTGAGCCTCTGTCTCTTACCCCACCCAGACAGACGAACCTCTGCCACTTCCCCCACCCAAACAGACGAACCTCTGTTACTTGCCCCACCCAAACAGACCAACCTCTGTTACGGCCCCATCCAAACAGACGAACCTCTGTTACTTGCCCCACCCAAACAGACGAACCTCTGTTACTTGCCCCACCCAAACAGTCGAACCTCTGTCACTTGCCCCACCCAAACAGTCGAACCTCTGTCACTTGCCCCACCCAAACAGTCGAACCTCTGTCACTTGCCCCACCCAGACAGACGAACCTCTGCCACTTGCCCCACCCAAACAGACGAACCTCTGTTACTTGCCCCACCCAAACAGACGAACCTCTGATACTTGCCCAAACCAGACAGGCGAACCTCTGTTACTTGCCCCAACCAGACAGACCAACCTCTGTCACTTGCCCCACCCAAATAGACGAACCTCTGTTACTTGCCCCTACCCTTTACACTTTTCTCACCCCTACTATCTCATGATCATTATTACTATTACCATTAAAGCAGATATTATTTTGTCAACGTCATTTACCAAAAAATTATAACCGTGGTCATAAAGCGTTTGCTTATAATGTACATTGCTACCGACATTATCAACAGTGTTTGAAGCTGAGTCGATGCAAAGGAATCGTGGTTTACACCCATGTCGAGTCGTTGATGTGGGGCATGTGCAGGACATATGCGCATATGGATAACATGTGTCTGTCGCCATTGTCCTACTCACGGGGCGTAACCTTGTCTGGTTACTCCGAAACAGTAGCATCGCTAGCCGTGGTCAGGAGTAAATATTCGGCTTCCGAACATGAGTTATAAGATATTGTTCATTTTCCTTCTCTGAAAACATAAACAAACAGCTCACAATGATCATATGCACTTCAATTTTAAAGGAAGACATTGAGCGATAACCAAAGACTGGATGTAACATGTGACCAAAATACGTCCCAATGGAATTAATTCCCTTTATGCACAATACACCGTTATATGAGTACAAGTTGGAATGTATGTGTATGTAGGAAATAACAGTGACGCTAAAAGGAGCGCGATCCTTTGGCCAGTGAATGTTTGTATATCTGCTTCAATTCAAAGGAGGTGCCAAAAGCCATTTGCCACCCAGTGAATAATTTAATTCCTTTTTTTGCCAAACATATTTGTACATTATTTCCAAGATTAATTAAATTTATTTTTAATATCCCAGCGCTCGACGAGGGCCAGACATGACGCCTATGCACTACCAGATAGTATTGATGGGTGTGGTTACTTGAGGATAGCCATAGGTACACCATAAGCACTGTTATGAACGGTGATTCATTCAGTCGAGGCAGATTGATTTTTCCAAGTCCAATATCGCATGGCATCCTCGTATTATATCACGGCCAGCCGAGTCGTCTAAGGAGCCGCGATTCGTTGTGCAGAACTGCGTCTCGTGCGTTAGCCAGAAAACTATGATTGTGGGTTCGAATCCCGGTTCGCCCCAATTATTTTTCAAGGTTTGTCAGCACCATACCCGTGCTTGTGGGTTTCACCTAAGTGGTAAACGTCTGAGACCTGCATCACTTCGGGCTTTCCTCCCACATTAAGCTGACACGCCGTGATATAACTGGAATACTGTTAAAAGCGGCGTTGAACCCAACTCACTCACTCACTCACCCTGAACCATCAACTTTTTGCATATTCTCTTCCATAGTTTATTAAAATGACTGTGCCATATGTTTGTGATTGACCTGCGAAACCACTCTGTGTTTAGTCACATTGTAATGTGTGGAATACCAAAGTGCAATGTATGGAGTACTGTAAGAGACATTGTCACAACTTCGCGATCCCATTCTAGAAATAAATGTACAATTGTCTGAAAATGCGAGTGGACAGGCTCGTGATATTGCAGCTTTGTGTTCCAATATCCGAATTTCGAATGTCCCTCAAATTATTCCTCAATGAACTCAAGCTCTATTCTCGCCATGTTTTACCATGCTAAAGTTTACAACCTATGACGTAGAGACCCCTTCCCCAGGATACAGCCAGCTTCCTGTCATACTTCCCTATCCGAGCATCCACTGTGTCTACGATAGTTTCGATAACTCTGTGGCTGGGGGCGGGGGGTAGCCTTGCTCCAAGGCTGTACTGAAAGATAAGTCCATGAATGTGTAGTTATTATCGCCTCCCAATAGGCAAGTCTAGATAATTATGTGGACAATACTCCAGAACAACTTGTTCTTATTATTTACGTAATCTGGAAATTATGATTTAAACCAATAATTTATTGCTCTCGAGACTTGTGCAAGTCTAGGCGGTGGGATAATCTAGTGATAAAAGCGTTTGCTAGTCACGCCATATTTCCGGTGTACCCTGTTGTGATATTGCTGGAATATTGCTAAAACGAGTATACTAACTCACCGCAGCTGACATCACATTATGGAACGGACAGGGTTTGAACAGGATTTATTAGTTCGAAAGGTTCGCTTTGTACAGTATGTAAGTTATCTCGGCGTGTCAGCTAGATGTAGGAGTGAGTGAGATTGGTTTGAACCTCTTTTATTTTAAGGACAAAATTCCATCCTTGGTCTACCTCTCTATCTTCCTGCATACCTTTATACAATTGAGCAGTCGCTTTTTGACTTACAGTGACTTCGATCATTGCTTTAATTGTTTTTGGCTTGAGAAGCTATTACAATAAATACTGTGTTGGTCGGGCTCAATGATCAAAGGGAGGCAAACACTGTCATGGACAGGCGGGAAACGATTACCCCGTTTCCGAGTAACGGGGTATGGGCGCTTTAGTACAATGTGAATAATTGCCGTGTACACTTTATGTGAATAATTGACGTGTCAGTCTCCAGGAGTAACCGACCGCCTCCGTGGTCTTGTGGTAGAGCGTCCGCCCGGAGAGCGGAAGGTCCAGGGTTCGATCCCGGGCCGCGTCATACAAAAAGACGTTAAAAGATTGTACTTGTTGTTACCCTGTCTGGCGCTCGGCATTAAGGGGCTAAAACAAGGACTGGTCGGCTCGGAGTCAGTATACTGTGTCTGAGTGGGGTATTCATGTTAAACTGCGGCATGGTATCTCAGTGAGCTAGCACTATAAATCGGCATCAGTCCGGACTAGTACAAGCAGCCACACACACACATACACGTGCATGCACGTCGCTATATAAGTGCGATAATCTTGGACGCGACGTTAAACCCAATTTCACCTCACCTCACCAGGAGTAACCACGAAGTACGCTCCAGGGAGGTAACTCTCACTGAGAAGTATGATTCATGGTTGTATAAAAACTACCTACTGATAACGTTGCAGGTTTCAATGTTAACAATATCTGCATGTCTCCACTGATCTAGTTCATCGTAAAATAATATTGCAACAATGTTATTACTTTCAAAAAAGGATTATGAAAAGAATATTAATAATATTACCACTGTAGATAATCAACTCTCTTATGCCTTTCCGTCCATTCATTGTGTCACTGCCATAATTGTTCGTTCGATTTTAGAAAAAGTACCGACAAAAGAGTATTTTTGCCATTAGATTCAGTTAAAATGTTATACATGTGTCATGTATGCCACTATGATTGTGTCAACTTAATATCTCTTGTTCCTTGAAAACAATACCAAATGTTCAGGTAGTCATTGTTGTGAAAACATATGACTAGTTTACTGTACAAATGTGGCAAAGTCAAGTTTTAAGTATTTGTACATGTAAGTTGGATATTTTAGGTGTTTCATTTTAGTTTTAGACTTCACGTACGGCACACTAGAAAAACGACAAACACGACAAACATTTAGACTTATACAAGCCCTCAATACAATCAGCCTAGCCCTTCACCCTGCATTTAAGATAGCCACCTTACTGGGTCAGGCCAGGTTCTGACCCATGCATTTGCACTCTGCATAAAATTATTTTGTCTGTCTGCTTTAGTTTCTCTGGTCAGCTTACTATCTATTGTGTATTTAGTTTTAAAGGTTTCTGTCCAGCATATCCTGTAGGCTTATGTTTTAAACTCGAATGTGTAATGTACTCATTACTGCTTCTGTAGGTACCACATGCAAATTACAATATCTTTTACCTTCTGGGTTATATGTGTGAGCCTTATGACAGTGAGGATACCTGCTTTAATAGGTACTTATGCAACAACATTTCTTCGCGCCGTGTTGATCATTTGGATCAAAGTTATCTTGTGTATTACTGTTGTAACCCTTGTTTTGATTCTCATTGCAGATTCTAGAATGAAATGCGTCGTTTCTACACCCGAGCGTTTCTCGTTGTGGCTGCCACCATCGTCAGTGTATTTGTCTACCTGCAAGTCAAGGTTCTCACCAAACATGGACTTTCTAGAGCACACGGAAGTCACATCCACCAGGTTCCATCAAACATGAACCGAAAAACAGAGTCTGAAATCGTTCCCTCTGATTCGAAACTGAAAGAAAACGTCATGAACGACACACAACGTGATGGGAATGACACAAGGAATGGCGGGCAGAATACGTTTGTGTTGAACTTCGAAAAAACATTAGACTCTGGTCGCATTCCTCCTTTGTGGCAAAGAGAATTATACACAAGTATCCTTACAGATCGACCAAAGACAAAATTTTATCTCAGCCATGTGTTGATGGTTCGACTGTATCATGCCGATAAGGCTAAATGGACAATACGGGAGTTGAAGCAGTGGTTGCATTATATGCTTCTAGCGGGTGTAGAACACTTTTACATATGTGATCACTGGCACGTCGGGGATAATGACATGGGGAGACAACTCCATCGATATATAACTCTCGGCCTTGTGTCCTACAGTAGAATATACACACATGATGCGATGCAAGCTCAGGTTCAATGCTACAAGAAGTGGGTGGAAGCAGAAGGCTCTAAATCTACTTGGATGACATCAGTTGATATGGATGAATACCCCTACCATCTCCAGGATAAGCGGGAGAAGTTCCTTCAGCTATACCTCAAGGACGTCCAACACAAATACCCAGAAGTTGCTGAAATATCTATGCCTAACTTCCTCATGCTTGGACAAGGGGATAAAACCAGAAATATAACTGTTGATAGAATCAAACGGTCGACGCCTGGTCCAGCAAATAAATTAGTGAAGCCAATTTTTCAGCCTTGTTGTGTGCGGCCTGATATCCATCGTGGGACGATGTTACGTCAGATGCGCGTCATGTCGGCGGATCCAGAAGAGCTGCGGATGCTGCATTACTGGGGTAGCAGGTTACAGAACTGGGGTCCTGATACAGATCAGATGTTGAAGATAACCATTCCCTATAGTGACATGGCAGACAGTTGGGTTGGGCGGATGAGAAACAGCTTGTTAGCGTTCGGTGAAGAGGACGCTTTTTCACGGAACTCAGGACCATGATATATGAAAATGCTGTTGTTCAAATTGGATACGCTTCAAGCATGATTTAAATAAAAGTATTATTTTTATGATATGTGAATCATCATGGTTTGACTTGTTGAATGTTTTTCCTCAGACACTGTTGTCGCCTTAGACGACTGGGAACATTGCCTCTTCTTACTAATATATTATATTTCATTTCATTTTCATTTATTTCTCCAAAAAAAGAATCACCCACGGTGGTACAGGAGAACAGGTTTCTTAACATAATTAATATTTAACAAGATGTCGGTTATACTTTACAAATATTTGGCGATAAACATTTTGCTTGAAATTTTGTACGAACATTTAAACAGAAACACTTGCATAAAACACACACACATACACCGTTACACTTAAAGGTATATATCTATTATACATATGGATTTTGCAAGGTTCTTGATTTCTTTTACATTTCTGGTGCTCAACATTTTTTGTATTTGTATTTTATTCGGAAATTGCGTGTATTCATTTGAGATAAGTTCAGATCTAGATTCACGGAACACTTCACATTTTAACAGGTAGTGGAATTCATCGGCTATAGCTGGCGATATACACTTCTTTGTAAGGCGTTTACATCCATCTTAACATCTCGCCTGCAGACATGGTGTCATAATAGCAGCATTACTAGTGAATATAAAGCCGGATTGGGAAATGATTATTCTACAACTGACCGTTTTTTCTCCTTGAATGCCATCATACAGAAATATGCACGTTATCAAAACAGGTAGATTTTATGTGTGTTTATACATTTTGCCAGCGCGTTCGATACAGTAACTTGTTTAAATGTATTCTAAGATTACAGCATGTATTAGAACATCAAATGGCCTTTCTCTAAGTTTATGTTTAATCTGGGAACCTGTCAAGGTTGTATATTAAGCCCACAGCTGATACTGCTGGGATACTGCTATGGGGGTTTATCTAGATAAAACTGAGATTATTGTGTTTAGACAGTCTGGTTCTTTACGAAGTTACGAACAATGGTATTTTGAAGACAAACAGTTAGAACAAATGTTATATTTGCGTTACACTTTCTTAGTAAAGTACAGATTCTAGTACTTTGTTGGGTTGAGTCCGATCAAGGATTCGAACCCACACTGTCGGAGTGAGCTCCTAATCGCCAGCGCACAAAGTTAGCGATCTAACCCACTCAACCACCGAGACTTCCAAAAATATAAAAGTCCGACAGCTAGTAATCTAGATCACGTACTGTGTGTACCCCTCTGACAAGTGTAAATTGGCACGAAATCTATGAACACACAATGCCATTTAGAAAGTGGTCAAGTGTAACAAATGTTATATTTTGGGTAAAACTTTCTTGGTAAAGTACGGATTTTAGTACTTTTGGGGGTTGGGTCTCATCCAGGATTCGACCCAAACTGCCAGATTGAGGCACCCAAAAGACAGCTATCTAACCCACTCAGTCGCCGAGGCTTCCACAAAAATTAAAGGTCGACTGGTAGTCTAGATCACGTACTTTGTGTACCCCTCTGACTAGTGGGTTCTAACTTATTTCAGACAAGGGGCCGTGGGGCAGCCTAGTGGTCAAATCGTTTGCTCGTCACGCTAAAGACCCTGGTTCGATTCCCGACATGGGCACAATGTCAGATGCCTATTTCTGGTGTCCACCTGCCGTGATATTGCTGGAATATTGCTAAAAGCGGCGTTAAACCATACTCACTCACTCACCCACTCACTCACTCACTCTTTCAGACAATCGAAGAATCCACTGACAGTTTATCTCATTCTTAAAGTTATGAACGGTACAAATCACTTCTAAATATTTCTTTAAAAACTTTATCAGCTAAATTTGGATGTTTTGCTTTTGGTTTACATATAGAGCCTAGAAGAAATTCTTATTCCACCCTCGAGGAAAGTTTATGTACTTATTGTCAAGCAGCTGGAGAATCCATAAATGAATATGTAATCCATGTTTTGTTTAAAAAAAGTATATCATGATGCATATTACTCTTTATGTACATAATTTAGAAACCTAAGACAATCTGATACACATAATTAGTAACAAAAATGAAAAGAAATCTTTGCTATTTGCTGAACCATTTATATGAACTGTAAATTGTAAATACTTTTATGTGCGCTTCAACCTTTTCTGGTTTTGTGATGCGTATTTTGAGCTGGTGGCCTTCGCGCTGAAATACAAACTGTCTGTTTGTTACACACTGCAAAGACGAAAACCTCGGGGTTTTTTCCTTATATGGTCGTTGGGCAAAATAACGATAAAAAAATTATTTAAGGATTGAAGTTGTATTTGTTGACGTTCATCAGCTGATGAAGACAGTGACTCACGTGAGCAAATTCCATGATGCGCGATGAGCTGATGAGTGAGTGAGTGATTATGGTTTTACACCGCTTTTACCAATATTCCAGCAATATCACGGCGGGGGACACCTGAAATGGGCTTCACACATTGTACTCATGTCGGGAATCGAACCCGGGTCTTCGGCGTCTTAAACCACTAGGCTTCCCGACCGCCCCTCATCAGCTGGTGAACGTCAACAAATACAACTTCAATCCTTATATTGACAGATACATAAATCATAACAAACCGATCCATTAAACATCAAACTTTAATTATTTAAAGCGAACTATATCAACGCGGAGAGTCGTGACGTCGAGACGTCATCCGTCCCAAACATTCTATTTGGAGTGGCATCCCTTGGTTTTACAAACGGTAGAAAATGGCGGCTACGGTAATGTCATGCATGTGAAATGAGCACCCAGAAAAAGTTAGCGTTGGAAAGAAATCCAGACTTTGCTGATGCTGAAAATGGATTGATATTAACGTTCTGTGAACTTTGGGTGTGTATTTGAGTCATACCGCGGCTGCTGATGACGGGGATTACCGCATCAGGCGACGCGGTTGGATTTCCCGAAGCAATACACGGCAGTGTGGAGCACAGTGTTGTCTTTTGGTAAGTCGAGTATTCTCTGTTATAGCTTCGAATGGACGCTTCATTTCGACATATATGATCTGTCTGGCCTCAAAGCCCGCATCATTCATGGCCTGAATCGATGTCGTCAGTTGTTCCTTATGATTTTCTGTGTTATTTTTAGACATTGAGGAATTCCCGTAAAGTAGTTCTGTATGTCTCCGCTGGAGTAACGAATCTATGCATAGTCCAATCAAAATCGCGCAACGAAATCGAAATGCGGTTCCTAAACTGTCATGCAGATTTCGGTCGACTGCAGGATTTGCAAAGCATGTGCACCGCCATTTCGTTGTCAACAGATATTTTCAAAATCTTTTCATGTTTTTAATCAAGGTGCTCGCGTGATTTGAGCGATTCGCGATGTAGGACCCGTTTTATCATAATATAGATCTTGATTATCGAGCAGATCGTCCTGACGCCGCCATTTTGTTTGAAGCAAATGCAAGTGATACGAGAGGTGGATTCTGATTGGTCCATAGGAGAGGCTTAGAAGGGGCATAACTGGTAATAGCCACTGGTGGCGCTACGATCGAGCCCAGGAATTCCAGCCCAGTTCGGCAAGGGTGGAAACTGGACTTTTAGAGTCAGTTAGCTCTCTTGCCTCGGGAAGATGACTTTTTTTGTATGCTTTGAACGCTCAATCACATTATTTCAAATATAAATAATCGACGCAAGAGAATTAACGGTCTTGCTTATCTGCCGAAACGGATTCCGGTCCATTGGGGTGGGAGGTGGTGAAATGGGATTTTCAATATTATTGCGTTCAATATTATTGCACTTATATTCCTGTATTGGATTTCATACTCCTAGTATCTTTGCCACAGAGCCCGAATGCAATCGGTCTGTCTAGTTATGTGTTTCTCAACATCACGACTACGTACTCTACTAATCACCTTCTGACCATTACGCGTCGGTTCCTCTGTGGGAGAGGCGGTCCTACAGCATGGGAGGTGTAATCGTTAGTTCAGCACCGTGACAACCAGACAATCAGGTGACCAGTATCATGAACAACGATCTTTTGGGGTACAATGCCACGTCGTCAAGCAAGTCTCCGAGCCTGACCCCAGGATCCATAAGTGAGTGAGTGAGTTGGGTTTAACGCCGCCTTTAACAGTATTCCAGTTATATCACGGCGTGTCAGCTTAATGTGGGAGGAAAGCCCGAAGTGATGCAGCTCTTAGACGTTTACCACTTCGGTGAAACCCACGAGCACGGGTATGGTGCTGACAAACCTAGAAGCATAATCGGGGCGAACCGGAATTGAAATCCACAATCATAGGTTTCTGGCGTGCCCAAGGGACACAACTCTGCACAGCGAATTGCGGCGCCTTAGACGACTGGGTCACCCGTGATCCATTAAATAAGTGCCAGGGTTTAGGGAGGCGTCGAACTCTCTGTAAAGGTCAAAGTATGTGATAGCATTGCCATCATGGGGACAAGCAACGTGTCATATTTAGTAACTTTCTCTGAATGCATTAACACAAACACATGCATAACCTCGCAATTACACCGATCAGCGAGGTGTGAAAGGACAGCTGTGATTGGATTAACGAGCAATGTAACAGTTGTCCTCAGCAATCAAATAGATTTCTTGTTTAGTGTGTTTCCGGGGAGGCTAGTGGTTGTGTTTCCGGTAGGCTACATACACATCTAATATTGGAAAGCGGCTTGACGAGGATGAAAGGGTGTGACTAAACTGCTTCGTGGAAAATGAGGTTTCAATACCTGTTTGAAGAGTAAGTGTGTACTGTGGTGGTTATCTTTCAACTTGACAACATGACGGGAGTGAGAGAAACTGTCAAAAAGGAGAAACTGAGAAACGAGCTGTGATGAGTGAGTGACTGAGTAAGGTTTTACGCCTCTTTTAGCAATATTCCAGCAATATCACGGCAGGGGACACCAGAAATGGGCTTCACACATTACACCCATGTCGGGAATAGAACCCGGGTCTTTAACCACGAACGCTTTAACCACTAGGCTACCCGACCGCCTCTGAGCTTTGATGACGTGCCTGCATAAAAAGGTCACGACACAAAAGGAAATACACGATAACACGAGTAAACCATTTCCATAAACATTATATATCAACAAGAGAAGAGACCATTGTACA